CTATCATGTATTGTATTCATGGTCTATTTTAAAAATATGAATAACATAGGCCTATACTATCTTCCTGTAGTATACATACAACCTTACTTAAACTAGTAATTCACATATGGTTTGAATTACATTGTAGGTAAAACAATTATGAATTGTTTCATTACAAAGTTAATTTTAATTATATTTTGCAGCAATGTGTTTAAAGTTCTCTACGTGACGGACTCGGACTCGTTGTTTTTTTACAGTTTAAAGGCCCGTTTTGCCAGAAGCGTCTGGTGCGTCTGACGCTCAGCGATGATCGCTAGAGCGATAATCGCTCAGCGTCTATCGTTTGGGTCTATTTTGCCAGAAGCGTCTGTTCCTTGCGATTATTCGATCAGTGAGTGGGAAAATGAGCTGTAAAAAGCAAATAGGAAAGTATTTGTTAGCTGAGGAATTAGACGATGAAGAGATATTAGAAATGTTGAGCAAACCTAGGGAAAAAGTGCGTAATATGTTTTAAGAGACCTGAAGAGGGATACTTTAAATTGTTAATTGAAAATCACCTCCACTCTAATGAGACCAAGTTTCACTAGTTTCGCCTAATTTTTCACTAGTTTTTAAGTTTTTTTATCTTCTTCACTATTAAATCCCCACTTTGATTGTGAGATGTCATTAAACTTGTAAACACGACTTATTTAAGGAAACAAAGTTATATCAACAACTAAACACGTGCTTATTCCTGTAATAATCGCTAGCGACTGCGTCTCCGTCTGCTCCAGGAGCAGTGGTCCGCGTCAGACGCTAGCGTCTCAGTTACAGACGCTGGCGGCTGTAGCGATAGACGCTTCTGGCAAAATAGACTAACTTAAAACAATGCAAAGCAGTGGGCAGCGATAGACGCGGAGCGATAATCGCTGAGCGATAGACGCACGAGACGCTTCTGGCAAAACGGGCCTTTATCAAGCACATGCTGTAAACTTCAAAACTTATAAGTGATCGTGCCACAGGCATTGCATGAAAAGCCGCGTTTAAACTAGAGTCCTGAACAAAATGTTTAAATCATTTGTTGAAAAATGTGCAAACCACACAAACCAAAATAACATATCTACAAAACATCGGTGAGAACCCCCTTGTAAACGTAGCTTGAAAAACTGTACACACACGTTTAAAACTTCTTGTGGAAAACAAAACTTCTGTCGTGACCAATGAAAAACTATTTAGATCATTTAACCAAAACGTTGTCCTTTGGATTGTTTCAAACATTTGTTTGATGTTGTATACCCCTTTAAAACATGGCTTTTACCTTTTTGTGTTGTCATTTTTTATTATGGCAGCTTATTAACGCAAAATAAAACATAAAAATGTTTAAATGTTTCACGCATTGTTCACTCAAGTAAGATACTACATATTTCTTAGGGTTTCAAACAGTAATAAAATGTAATGCAAGGATAAATAGTGCAGAGTAAGGTAATTAAATGGGAGCACCCCGATTTTTTTGCTATCACATGAAAAATAATGCATTATTGAACGCATTGCTATGTTTATAACTTCAATTGAACTGTTTCAAATGTTTAAAAAACAATATTGATCTTAGCAACAATTCAGAATCTACTTAGAGTTCATTTAAACACTGTCACAACAGGCGAAATCACAGTCGCATATGAGGCTATTTAATTTGTAGTTTCAAAGACGTCCAAAAATCTTTTTGAACTAAAGCTAAGAATTATCCGGCAAATTCCCTATTTCCAGAAATGTGTTGGAACGAACATTCACTGGATTTTTTTCTGGCGACTTGAAAAATTACAAAAAATTCAAGGTTGTTACTAGACTTAAAGAACATAACCAATGGCTCGTTTATGTTAAAATGGCATAAGACAAGATTTGTTTTGATGTCTTATTTATATAAATATAGGGTCAAAATTGATTAAATTTAATAGTATTAAATTTCTACTATTTATAAATTGAGGTCTTGTCACTGCCTCACCCTGTACATATTTGTATATTAAAAAGGTAAGTCCAAATCCATAATTTTCTTAATGTATAAAAAATAATATTGCATATGCAATATTATTATTATTATTATCTATAGACCTACTATTATATAAAAATTTAATGGTGTCTGTCTGTATGTGTGTTACTAATAGGTGCAAAAACTACTAAACCAACTGGGCTTAAATTTTACAAAAATATAGTTACAATACCAAGGAACATTATAGGACTATTCACATTTCGATACTGACAGTAGGCTTTGCCCCTTTGGCTTTAAAAGTTCTGAGGTGAATATTTTTAAAGTAAATATTAATTGGTCTCCATGACTGCGATGAGAACACTAACAATGTTTGTTTACATTTCCTTTGACATTTATATGTAAACAAGAAGAACTGCTAAACTGCATATTTCACAATTTCAGACAGCTGATACAAAGAAATTAAATATAATATTTTCCATAACTATGAGGTAGGTTTGTTTCAATCTAACCTTTTATCATGGATTATTTATTCTAAAACTATGTCAATGATTATATAAAAAAAAAATTCTATAACCGTTGCTGTATCAACTCCGGTTCTGCTTTGGATTTTTTAAAGCGTCTCAAGTTATGAAAATAATGTTATTTTATGTATGTAAATAATGTTATGTTTTCATGGAAACAGTATGAAAATTACAATGTATAGATGTTTTGCATGAATTTGAAGGCTACTTTAAATAAATTCTAACTGCTTAACATGTGTTAGATTAACTTAACATAACTTGCACATCACGTTGTTTTTTATATGTATATTTAGGTATATTAAGTTATTGTGTTTTTCTAAACCTATGCTTAAATTAAACTAAAGAATAACATCAATAACTAAATTGTACGTCGTTGATTTTTGTTTTCCAAAATCTGTTGTACATGTGTAGCTATATTTAATTATCAAATGGTAATACGAAATACTCTTATTTTATCTTAAAATAGCTTTCAGTTCACACTTACTTTATTTGATACATTTATTATTTGTGTTTTGCCACACCACTGATTAAATTAAACCAAGGAAAATATCATAAAACTAAGCAGTACACAGTCTTCTTTTGTTTCTAAAATCAATGAAATATCTGTTACTATGTTTACTTAATGATAAATGTGAAAAATGTAAAGGCAATGGACGATCGAACTGATTAAAATAACTGGTTTGTATATTAAGTTGTTTATTGATATTTTTGTAGAGTAGAATCAGAGATGCAATGAAACATATACTGTATTTACTATTAAATTTTTTAGTCCTTGATGCTTTGATAATCATATTAGTTTTGTCTGCTGTCTTTAATGCTAAATTATTTGTTTAAAATTGTTTATAGTACCTATAGCTATAGTTTCTTTAATATTTAAAAAGACTGTATTGATAAGGCACAGAAATATTTCTAAAGTTTATAACATCTGACTTAGTTTTGCTAATGATTTATTGTGAGTGAAGAAATGAAAGATGGAAGGATTAGTGATTTAATATAAAGAAGAGTGAAATAAAAAAAATGTTCATTTAAATTTAATAATTGATATTTTTGCACCTTCAAAATTTAAATTTAAAATGTAAATAATAAATTAAAAGATTTGTAACTAAGGGAGATAAAGGTAAATCGTGTATGTCAAAGTTTTATTCAACGATTTGGTCAGTTTTTCTCATATCAGCCTACACAAGATTTAAAATTAATCAAAACCAAAATGGTGGTATCTACTACTTACCAGATTTAAAAGTCATAACTTAAACGTTTCTATTAAGGCTATAACAGTTGAATTTTGTTTCTAAAAGCGATGGTGGATGGTTAACTATTATATGCAACAGATGTAAAGATTAAAATGTTTCAATTTTGTTTCCTCTTCCCTTGCAAAGCACGGGTACAACAGCTAGTAATTAATATTATAATTTTTATTTAAAAAGATATATACATATATATTTTTGAAGGACCCAACTTTTCAGTAAATAAATTAAAATATATTATTATTTCTCATCGAATTAAATGCTTGTATAATACTTTGGCCAACTTTTAAGAGATGCATGGCTTCATTTTAAATTAAAATTGAACATTTTTTTAAAATGTTATGCTTGAAATATTTAGCAGCTATCTCAACCTGTTGAGGGCTAAACGTTATAAAATCCAATTATGAAGCAATTTAGAACATTATAAACGTTTACAAATAAAAAAATATTAGTGCGCTTTTATTTTACTTTCTTTAAAAGGACCTTAAAAGGTAAGTAAACAATTAATATAACTATTGACTATTTCAGAGATATAAACTTACAAAATATGCTTTCTCCTGTTTTAAAGTTTTAGTAATTGTTAAGATACCTATCTTACCATTTATGCGAATAAAACTATTCAAAGATTCTCAATCGTAGGTTAAAACCGGTTTTATATTATTCTTTAATCTATCTATACATACAATTAAGACGAAAAGAATTTTCCTTGTTACATCCCTTTTTCAGACTACCTACATAACCGATTTTCACGATTGAGGTGTCATTTGGCCTTTATGACCTTTATTGGCCCTTATGGATTTTAAATAGGCTATTTTTTATAACGGTAATCTGATTGAGGTAGGATAATAATCACTCTTAACAAATTGGATGGATTGTAAATTGGTACTTTTATTCAGCCAATAATTGTCTTAAACAAATACAATCTTTGAAAAGTAAAAGGTTATTGCGTTATTTTTTCGCCTCAAATTTGGACCCTATTAAATGTGCATTTTGCACACGGGTCTCCTCATTGCTATGTTTATTAGGCCGGAAAATGTTATTTTCCAAGCGCGGGAAGGACAAACTCGCAGTGATACAACTGTTGTATGACTTAAGACTTATAAATATGAAGGATATATGATATATAGCTAAAAAATATTCTACAATATGGGAACATTTTAATTTTAAAAAATTTGATTACGTCTCAAGATTTGTAAAAAGAAAAGTCTTGAACTTAAAAAAAACTTCTTACCTTTGAATTTTTTTTTTAAATTTAAATTTAATATTTTCAAAAAAATATATATATTTACTCACATTTTGCTCCAGATGGGACCCCATAGGACCGTCGGACAACTTCACCTGATGTATGCAAATGTTGGAGTTGGTGTTCCGCGTTGACAGGAGGGGTGGAACCGCAAAGAGGGGGAGGGGGAAGAGGGTTCAGCCAATCACCGCCTCATGTTTCCACCCCCTACATCCTTCGCAGGTTGTTTTGTTTTGGACAACAATTGACAGGATTCTGGCAGACTGTTTAACGAGTTGAATATCTACAGCACTTTTATGGGGGAGGCAAAGGGGTAGTTTGGGGGTAGTACGCGGTATATTTGATTTATAGAGTGCTCAATGATCAATGCTAAATCCGGGAAAGCGTTAGAGTAAGGTTTTATTGTGTTTATAATACGCATACGATTGGTGATTTTTTTGTGATAAAATTTATGTTTAAGTTATATTCAATTATCATTCGTACGCCATTATATCAGAAGTTCATATACTTTAGACAATAGGCAGTGCCAATCAAATTTAAATGTTAAAAGGAAGTTTGAGCTGAAATAGGGAGGAAAACACACGACTAAGTTTTGGTTAAGGGTTAAGGTATTTCTTATCACCACATGGTGCCAGTATAAAGGTGACGCAAATAAGCGCATTTGAACCCTTGTACGAAATACACTATGATCTATGCAAACATTTGGTCTTTAAAATAAAACAAAAAATATTTTTTATTAATTGTCTTGACTTAACGTTATATTACTCTTGTCTTGATATTCTCTTGTCTCTTGTCTTGATATTCTAACATTTAGTTACTCGATTTTGAACTGTGTCAAAAAATATGTCCAATTTGTATCTCGTAGTATCCGCCGAATACAACTCCGAATTCCAACTCGGAATGTAAATCCTCCAAATCCAGATAGTTAATCTGGTTTTATTCACCAGAAAATATGAATATTAAAATGAAGAACCTAGATTGGAGGCAACTAACACAATTAATATACTGTACCTACCTATCTTCAAAATCCAACAGGACCAACAGAATTGGGTGTAGTACTTCATCAACTCGATGACGATTGGTGCAGATTGAGGTCGAAAGACTTAAATAAATCGATAAACTAGAGAAGTTAAATGAAAAAAGAGAGTTTTAACGTCCGAGAGACTTTGAAGAAAAGGGGATGGAGCGTCAGAGACATTAGATGGAGAATTAGAGACAGGAGTGTACAAAAAAAGATCCGTCAGTTCAAATGTCCTCGTCAGATTCCTATAGACAAACTTATTTTAATGAATTCTCTAACTAGTTAGAAAAACAATGTTCAATTTGGAACATATACTTCAACCCCCCAGATGACATATTATACTTTGTCTTGACTGTCTTTTCATATTATTAACAGATATAATTTAAAATAAGGACGATCCATTTAAGGTGTTTTCTACACACTTATGACTTAGAATATATTCAGAATAGACAATACTACTGTAGTTGATAATAGAATTTTTAATATAAGGATTTAATTAAATCCTCGGACTAATTAATTAATTTTTGCAGGCCTGACTATATTTTTCAAGGAAGGCGTAGAAGAATTAAATACTTTGAAAGGTTCATGGCTGTGTTTGCTGGGGAAAGTTCAACCCTTCCTGTTGCTTTGTTTCCCTGCCGGAAGTCTTCCCCGATACCTCTGTTGTCCTGTTGAAGAGCTTATTTCGGTCCAGTCCACCTTAACATTGGATCTACTCCTGGGAGTTACCACCTGTTTAGTATGTGAAGGGTTTGCTAAATTGAGTTGCTAATCAATAGTTTAACCACCACTTGATCGAAAACCATTTGCTTGACATTGTAAATAAAACACGAAAACCCACTTTATCGAGGTATTATTTTCAACATACATGTTAACCATAATTTCAAACCAATAAATACCAAATTTGACTTAATTTGTATTACGTTTGACTTTAAATTGGGGTTAGGGTTGAAAATAATTAAAATTTGCTCCTAGTTTTCGTTTATTCTTAATATAAATATCATTAGTTTTTAATTTATAAAATCACGCTTGTTAGTTTTATAATTGTTAATGTCCATCATAGTTGTATCCAAAGACTTCTTATGACTTCAAGCATTATGTTCACTGTGCTTTGGCTCAACATTATGAGTGACAATATACCAAAATCATTGATTGGTTCATCGTTTGTAATACTGTTTACGTTTGATGGCAACATGGTGTCTGTTAATTTATTTTTACTCTTTACTCTTTAATTGTATCCCTAGTTGTTGTTGTTTTTATGGTTTATACATTTAAATAAGTTTTAAAAACTTACAGTAAATGTAACTTGATGATAATACAGGTTTAGAATCAATTTAAGTTGTTTACTAATTAATTAGACATGACTAATCATTTATGTTTTAATTTAGGTGTTAATGTGTTTAGGTGTTAATAGGGCTGCTAATATATACAATTATAGTAGTAAATAAAGTACAACTGAGCACCCTGAATATTATATTTTTATTGGAAGATATATAATGAAAAAGTAAAGTTTTTTAACTTTTACTAAAAATATAATATTCAGAGTGCTCAGTTGTACTTTATTTACTACTATAATTTTATAGACATGACTAATTAACTGTATGAACTAATAATAAATAATGGTCAAACAAAATTGTAGGAAAGAATCATAATAAAAGGATTTTCAAATGCAGTGAATTAGTGAATAGGGTAAAAATAAAAAAAATTACAAAAAGTCCCCTGTTCTTTCAGTTATTCTGAAATACTAAAAATAATATATTTTTTCTTAATCCACTCAATTTGAAATTTTTTTCCTTAACTTGGATAACAATTACTTTACAGTTGTTTTAAAACTTTATTCATTAATTAAATTTGATTGATTGATTAAATATTTTACATTGGTATTCTATATTGGTATTATTGGTAGATCTTTGAAAGCTGGGTTGTAAAATAATGTAAATATACGTCTTTTGGATTCAAGATTGTTATTATATAGTATCTATTTACTTGTTACTTGTTAATTTTTGTTCATTAATTATGTTCTTGCTGTTACCACTCACTGTTGCATGATTTTGCCATCTTTTAATATTGTATACATTCTTGTAAACTGGTGTAAACCGTTGGGAAATAAATAAATAAATAAATAAACTTATGTGTACAATATTTCATATTGTATTTTTTTTAAGACACCCTAGAAACTCTAAGTGTGCAAAAGTAAAGTCTGTTAACTACATTTGGTAATGTTAAAAATAATTAATTCTTAACAATAATAGTTACATACAAAGCAATAAGTAAACTTATAGAATTACAAATTTTAAAAGTTTTACTAGAGAAATTTATCTAAAGACAATCTTAGTAACAAACTGTTATGCAAATATTATGCACTTAAAGATAAGTTAGGCATTCTTCACAACCGTAAGATACTTTACAGACATTTATTATTAAAAATATAAATCTAAGTTCCTCAGCTTTAGGGGAATAAATCAGCAACTTGAGAAAGAGACATCTGTTGGGAAAATAAATAACAAGCAGGATAAGGGGAGGGCTTATTGTTAAATCTTGGGAGGATCCATATCTCTCAGATTAGGGGACATTATAACACTGTCATCTGTGATATCTACATAGTAGTGACAACATTCTAGAATAGACGTTTTGTAGATTTTATTTTTATTTTTTATTTAATATATAGATATAGATCATTTACTATAACTGTCGATAACTGTGCCCTAAGCTTTTGAATATTCAATATATACATTTCATTATCATAGTTTTACCCCAGGAACTGAGTCATGTATTTCAAAAAATTAACATGCTTATATAAACCTAGTTTTAGAATTAGTTTTCATGGATCATATTTTGAAAGCTGGGTGTTGTTAATTTTGTATTAATATTTTGGAGTGTCATTCTTTTTATATTTTTGTAAAAGCGCATTTAAAGTACCTAACATAAAAAAATAAAATTTCAAAACAAAACCACCTATTTTATTCCATAAAATGAATTGTATACACAAGCTGTGTCTTTGAATTAACAAACTATTGATAAAATACAAGGAATGGGTTCCCATGTAAAAATAGTACATTTCACCACTAGGGTGTTAAGTCATTCTTTTCAACCCGAGGTCAAGTTTCACGACCTCAGCATTGCCTCATTCAGAAAATGAGCGAGGGTTGAAAAACACTTTTGGATACAGGAGTTGATCAGTCCGAGGCAGAACAGTCGGTCTGTCCAGAGCAAAGTTTGGAAATTTCCAAAAAGAGTTATCCTTTGTAATTTCAATTCGGTTCCCTTTATCCATTCCTTATTGTAGGTATCTCCACAGGAAACTTATTTAATAAGGAGTTTTATTTCATATTATTTGGACAAAAATATGCCCAATTAGCTAAACATCTAAAGAATAAAAAGGCTTTTGTCATAAACAGAGCCATAGAGTCTTGGCCTTGGAGTGTGCAGGCCCAGTGCCCCTTTTAATACCAAAAACGTGGTATACAAACAATAATCTCAAGGTTTAAATAAGTATTTATGCTTCCCTCTTATTACTGTCATAATTGATCTAAAATTAAAGGACTTTTCTTCATTTTTTGTATTTTGCAGCAAGCAGGGGGTTGGCAATGTGTGGCTCTGTGGACTGTGCAGTCTTACCTTCACCTTTCATACGAGCTTAAGTCCAGCACTGGTTATATACTAGGCAGAAGGTACACAAACTGCAAGAGGTATATAATAAAATAACATTTTATTGGAGAAAATAAATAAATACTTTCACCAAAACATTGTTTTAAGGTAAGAAGACAGTTTCTTGGTGTTTTGTACAAATCAATTACACTACTAATATAAATAACTTTATATCAATATATAACTTTTTAGTTCAGGTTTACACACAAATATTTTGGTACACAAGAATTACTAAACAAGTTGATACAATTTAAAAGTACTATTTCCAGTTTTTATACCGGTAATTTAAATTCAAGTATTAAAATGAACATAACCCTTTTTAAAGGTAAAATCTTGCATTGTCTATAGTAAAACAAACTTAATTTATTGGAAGAGTGCAATGCTTAATAAAATAAATTGCAGTAATGCAGCATCAGGTGTCTATACAATTTTCTTTGATAAAAAAGGAAGTAATATGTTTTTACAAAACTAATATATAAATACTGATAATATTTGCAGATAAACCTTCCAATTTGTGTATTAAAAATATAAAATAAATTTATCTATACATTGATAATATAACTTATGTGTTTAAATTTACTTAACTATTTACAGTTCTAATTAAGAAAATGAATCAACATTTCACATATATAATTTGGTTTCATCTAACAGACTAATAATCAAGTTGATTATTGAAACATATTTAATAATGTGTGTTACCTGTTAAAGGTAAGCCAACAGAACAGTTTATCAGATATTTTGGATAAGGACACATTAAACCGTAGGGAATCTAGGGTGTAAAAAATCTAATATATTAAATTTATAACGGCAAATACATGTAACAAAGCTGATAAATAACATTTTATTTACATAAGGCACAATTTAAAATTCATATAGGACTATAATAATTGACATAGATTACAAAACTAGAAAATTTATACAGAAATATTTCACTTTGTACAATAAATAAATAATGCTTCACCATAAACTTTGCTCTTTAAATTTTTCATATCTTATCTTACTTATTTCACATTCACATCATTTAAACTCAGTCAAACCTTATAGTGGACAAACTTAAGCCCCTTGTGGTAAGGTTTAGGTTTTGTACTTTCATCAAATTCTACTGAACACATTCAATGCCACATGCATTTTGGACTCAACAAGTCCAATCCCTAATAGAAAAAGGGGTGTTTCTAGGACCAATGCACAATCAAGATAAACAGAACTAACCTACTCAAGATTTTTTGTTTGAGCTATTCTCACTTTATAAAACAACTTCTTTCCAATCTCTAATTGTGTTAGAATAATGACCGAATGCAATTTGGACTAGAACATTTTTTTTTTCCTGTAACCATCTCATTAAGTAATTTGGTTCTAATAACACTCTTAAAACGTATATTGATCGATTAAACCTTTTCTCTCTAATTATTTGCAATAGTTAGTGAAAGCTATGATCATAATATATGTTTTTATGAGAATTTACTTAGTTTAATCAATTAGACTTCTACAAACAAATGAACAAAATAATCTAAAAAACCTCGAGTAGGCTAGCCCTCATTTTCACAATTCGATACAAATTATTGTTCAATCTATCTTCCATTGCTAAAGCGGCAGGTTAAATAAAAAAGAAGTGTTTCAATTTCCCTTACTGTGAAATTATCACATAAAAAACCATCAGTGGATGATAATGTTTTAAAACCTGTGTCTTCCAAAATAAAAAAGATCAAAGTATAATAATTTTACCATCCATTAATAATCCATACTTATAGGTAATGCGATGGGTTTATGGAATGTGTTAGAATACGGTAGTATATTTTGTACCCAAGGCCAAAAATAAGGTTTTGCCGGCTTGGTATAGTTTCTAGCTGCAAAACCTTTTCGGTCGGTGGTACAAACGCTATTTTTCACAACACTATACTCTATTAGCTGGGGGAGCGAGCTGGTGTAGTTGTTAGAGCGCGGGACTTAAGTCCCTGAGGTCCCGGGTTCAAATCCCGCCAAGTCACCAATGGATTTGATCTAAGTGATAATGCCGCAACCCCTAGGTCTAGCCTGAAATAATGTGAAAAACAATCCTGTGCTCGTCCCTAGCGTATTCACCCCAAATAATGCACACTGATAGTCAACACAACTACAACTTAAGGGTTATGTGAAGAAATAATTTGAGGAATCAGCAAAAATAATAATTAATAGTTGCTAGGCAGTGGCGACAATAAAACAATTATTTAGTAATGCTATGGATACTGATTGTGTAATTAATATGCATTCAGGTTTTAAGAAAGTAAGCGGGCAGCTGTTTTGCGGCCCTAGGGATGTAAAAACCTGCTCGGTCCCGAAATGACGATGACAGCCGGCATGGCCAGTAAAACGTCACTTTCAGCCACCAATTAATGTATGTAAAACAGCTAAAAGCATCATAGTGTGGTGAAAAAATTATAACAGTATGACGTAGGATTTAATTAAACTAACAACGTTATTAATAAGAAGTGGGCAAGTAATTGAGATCCTAATCGTATGAGGCATATTTAGGCAAGTACTTTATACTGGCATAACTGAAAGTGTTGACACAACCTATCTACCAAGAGAAATTTAGTTCCGTCATGTTGCCTTCACTATTGTGGACGGTTCGTGTTGTGTCGTGGTAGCGTTACTGAGGTCCAATGTTGGCTACATTATTGTGGACAGTTTGTCAGGTGTCGTGGTGGTACTACTAATCATGGTGGAAGTAAATATTTACTTCCACCATGCTACTAATAAGGTCTTGTACTGGCTACAATAGTATGGACAGTGTTGTGTCTTGGTGGAACTACTGAGCTCCAGTGTTGGCTACACTATTGTGGACAGTTTGTGAGGTGTCGTGGTGGCACTACTGAGGTCCAGTTTTGGTTACACTAGTGTGGACAGTTCATGTGGTGTCGTGGTGGCACTACTGAGCTCTGTAGACAGTCCGTGTGGTGTCGTGGTGGCACTACTGAGCTCCGTAGACAGTCCGTGTGGTGTCGTGGTGGCACTACTGAGGTCCAGTTTTGGTTACACTAGTGTGGACAGTTCATGTGGTGTCGTGGTGGCACTACTGAGGTCCAGTGTAGCGTGTGGTATACTGCCTGGACTGACACTACTTCCTGGCTTGGGTATCTCTAGGTGAGAGAGCTGATGTTGTATCCTCTGTTGCTGGGCCAGAGCTCGAACTGCATTAGTTTTCTCCTGAGGAACATGTTATAATTAGTTATGTGGCATTCACTTGTAGAAAATAGTTTTATCTAAATTACCTTTAAAACTTATTAGAGACAACCTGGATAAGGGCTCAACCTCTATTGAAAGCTTTTGCCAGCTGACAGATGAGTATCCAAAAAAGTGTTTAAAAGTAAAAAATGGCATAATATGTGCTTTCAGAAGAAGACCTCCACTGCCAGGACCAATGTTTCATCAGTAAAAAAAAAAAAAAACGATTTTTTCCTAAGAAAAAATCTGAGTTTTTCTTCTCTATACTAATGTAAAAAATCATAACAGGATTGTTGTCTGAAATCCCTATTAATCTTTTTGAGGCCATAAACTTCCATCCAGCCAATCACCGGCTTTGTAAGGTGGGCTATACCATACATTAGCAAGTGTAATATAGATGACAAATATACATTATTCAAACAGCTGCATGTAGATAGAACTCAACTGCTCTAGTTATTGCAACAACTTATCCAACTCAGCCATCATACCACCATCGGCCAATGTAAAGGTGCGTTGAGCAAGGCGCGTCTGTCTCGTCTATCGCAGAGCAATGATCGCCGAAGGATGATTATGAGTGTGAAGAGTATAGTGTTGAAGATTCTTTTGATCAAAGAAATAGAAGATACTGTAGTTGAGTGAAAATTTAAAAACGTACGTTTTCATGTCCCTGGCCTTTTACTTCGTAGATACTGGATTTTTAGTTTATTATTATGTGTTTTAATATTTTTTGGGACGGGGGCAACATGTTACACACATTTATTTGGTTTTAAATAGGTTCTAGGTATTTTTTTCGTATTTTTAAAGTCTCGAAATTCACGACCATGACGTGTCCCTAGGGCACATTTTCCAACTTTCACACTGTTTTTAGACTAATTATTCATGCCGAAATATATAAAGCCATATTTTTATGTCATCAATGGTTATTAAACTTACAAAAAAGGAGCATGTTATAATTTTATTGTCATTACAAACTGACTACCATGACAAAATAAGTCTGTCCCTCGATTTGGCGTCACGACCATTTGGGAAAATTTTTCAACTTTGGAGTACGATAGTGGCAAGCCTGGCGTCGATGGAGTCAGTTGGTTTTAGAGACTAGTTTGGGGTGTACGTCAGGATTGTAGTGCCGGTCGTTTCGAGTTGAAAGGAGGAATTACAAGATTAATAAAGGAAAGACTGTGTTTTTTGTAATTTTGGTGTGTCCATGACCGTACGTAGTCATTCGATGAAGTAGACATGGTGTTAATTTTTGTTTATAAGATATTTCAATTGCTAAATTAACGTAGAAGTCCACTTTGTATCCTCGAACATGAGGTACAGGGCTACCGCCAGAACAGAGCCAAATAACACGTAATTTCACGACCAAAGTTTCACGACCATCGCGGGTTTTTTCACGACCAATCCAGCATTATGGATTATAGTGTGTTTGGTCGTGACAATAACTTTAATATAATTGTAAATTGAACAGTTTAGTTCAATTGAAACACATATTTTTATTATAACTAACAGGATAATTGAAGGATTGTTTAGAAAGATTTAGATTGTTCCAGACAATTCACGACCGTACCGCTTGTCCCTGACCATCACGTTTATGATTTCTATCATAAAAATTTCAAAAATTAAAATATCGTCATATTTCAATGTTTTATACACAAAAGAAGCACACCTCTATACAAACATAACGATTTTTCGGGTCTCAGGTAAGTTTCTTCGGAGTTATACAAACTTAAAAAGATTTTATTGGCTTTTTTTCAATTTTTTGAGTTTTTTTATTTTTTTCTAGAAAGACCAAATATACCAAAAGCTCAGTGACCTTTTTATTGTATAATGGTCATAAAAGTAAATTAGTTTATAGCAAAACATAGTTATAAAAATAATATTAACTATTTTTAATATTCATTTAAACGTCCGTTATGGTCGTGACAGGATTTTGTGTTTTTCAAATAAAGATGCTCTTTTAAAAAGAAACTACCAAAGATATTGCGTTACCATGGACATTTTATGAAACTTCAAATGATAATGAAATAAAAAAAATAATAAAAGTTTTGAAAAAAGGGGAAAAGAATTTGCAAAGTGCTTTTCCTGAAAACGTACGTTTTTAAATTTTCACTCAGTTACTGAACCTAGATTGTGTACACAGAGTGTTTTTACCAAGAGAAGCAAAGAAGGATATTTTAAAATACTTATCCAAAACCACTTGAAGGCAGACGAGATTCTGTTTAGTGAATTTTACAAAGAAACAGTTTTAGTTTGTTTGGGACCTGCTAGAAGAGGATATATCAAAACATTCATTGCACGGAAGAACGCAAGCACAACATTGCAATAGACGCAATAGCAATGGCCATCAGCGATTTTGTCTGCTCCTGGAACAGTGGCGCACGTCAGACGATCAGCGTCTAAAGCATCAGACACAGAATCTCAAGCGGCAGACACCTCTTGGACAACGGGCCCATTGAAATGAATGCTTAGCAGTCACTGAGCGTCCATTGCCAGTGTCTATTTTTCAGTTTGGACATAACAGACACGTCTTGGACGCGGGCCTTAAGTATATGTAGACACTAACACTCTTAGGATGGATTCCAATGTACTAATTAAGTGTCAGAGAGTTAGTTGTATCTTGTAGCAAAATCCGGTGACATGCTACACACATTACCGTACTCAATAGGTTAAACTGAAATGTAGTGAAACACGTCTCCATAAAGAACCAGTGACACCTTTGGTTTTCACACATACCAAACCTCATAGAATAATAATGGAATAATAATAGAATAATAATAATAACCATAGAATAATATGGTTTGTAACCCATACAGAACATGATACAGAGTGTGTGCCCATACAGTGTGAAAGTGAGTATGTTTTATCTATGGTGATAGTGTGAAATAACTCCTTGCAACCTCCACAAATATTTAAAAAACTAAATCTGTTAAGGTTTTGAGTTAATTCTTTTGGTTTAGATCCGTGGATGAAGCAAGCAAGCATAAGTTTTTGTTACTTTTCATACATGATGTTTTACTACACAGTTTGTTTAACTTCCATCCCAATGTTAACTATATGGGCAGACACAAAGCACACTTAATGAGGTGCTCATCTACACCACATAACTGAGACAATATTTACCCCTCCAGGTAAGGCACTGTTTGCTGAAAACAGGATCAATTTTCCAACTGGGCACACTAGGTAAGTGCCTAGAGGCCGAAAATGGTTTTCTGGGGGTATGAACTGTTGCAAAATTACTTCTTTGTACCTTATTTGGCAGAGTCCCTTGAAGCTGATGGTAAATAATAGATAAGGCATGGCAAATGGGTGGTTTTAAGGGTTAATGGGTGGAAAGTTGAAAGACAGCTGTGTAGACTGTCAGACAGGCCAATAGCACACCACAACTGACATGCGGCAGCGTCCAAAACATAGCCGTCAGAATACTGGTACTTTGTGTACTTGCTTTTTATACGATTCTTATAAGTCTTTAAATATCCTACTTTTAAATGCAATGAATTTTAGTATATGCTGTTCGATATGAACTGGGATACTATTAAGCCGTGTTTACACAATGTCAGTAGAAAGGCAGACTACAGGGCAGGTTACCTGCTTCTAGTGTATTTCAAGTTAAATCTGAGGCAAGTAAACCTGTCCACCAACTGGCCTTGTGTAAACACGGCTTTAATGTCCAACTGATGATCAGATGACACACGTATATTTATAATTTTGCTCTAAAGGCGCAAAAACACTAGCGATTGCAGCACTCAATATAGAATGATAATCAATTGTCTTCCTTGTTAACTCTCCTTATAGGTCGGGACACACTTAACCTTATAAACCCCGCGCCGATACACGGCCGATTGTTGGACGTGTTACAGTAAGAAAGAAAATAAGGCATTCAAACGTGGAGGGACACTCCTAACCGCACAGTGCCAGCACCGTCGTAGTGTTTGTTTTACTTACCGGAAGCTGCACTGTAACAGACTAGTTTAGTTTACTTTTTGAAGGTGACGTTGCGGCCTCGCGCAACATGGAGAGCTAAAACTTACTGAACAACTTATATTTTCTTTGTGAAATACATTTCTTCTAGAAAGTTTTGTTCTTTTTCAGGTGTTCTTGTAACTTGTTCAGGAGAAAATGGAAGGTATTTTGTGCGTACGTCGTATGAAAATATCTGTGTAGAACGTGATTTCCTCATCCATGACACAAGGAAACAGGGTATTAAATTCTTCCTCTGTAGGTCTTGATTTCCATCCACCCAAGTTCTCCTTTGCCTTCTAAATGTTTCCTCTTTTTTGTTTTTATTCTTCTACTGGAGCCAATCATTGCTAGATCACTGTTCCAAAATTTCAAAAACATAACTGAGACCACAAACAATAACAGAACACACTTAATATCAGCACACTACAGAACTGAGACAATGCTGATGGGTGTTGCTCGGAATAGTGAAGGGACTGTGTGTTTTCCTACTTCTATCACCAGCAGTAGTCCGCGTCGTGGGCTCAGGTCGGCCGTGTGTCGGCGCGGGCTAGGTGAGGTTAAGTTTTTCCCGATTTTATTCCTGTGTTTAGGTAGTTCAGTTTCTTTCCTACAATTGTTAAAATGGAAATTACTTATAAAAACTTACCTGTTAATCGATTTACTATAGGTAACCACTGTTTAAATGTTTGTAACACATATAAAATGTGTCTTTTACACTATTTGAAGTTGGTTCTGTGTTACTGTTAATCATTAACTACTCGCTCTTTTTCATCATTTTTTAACATACCTTTTGCCAGACGAATACATTGTGCACCATAGCGCATCCACAGAACACAATTCCCACTCCAATCAGAATGCTAGTAACGATAGCAGGTGTTGAGTGGAACTGTATGAATGTGTATAGGATGAGACCTGGAAAAGCAAAGAGATCAAAATTTACAGCAAGAGAAAGGATTGTTTGCATTCAAAAAGATGTTGAGAACGTTTTTATTTTGAGGAAAATATTTTCCTATAAATAGTTAATTATTATCTTCAGAGGAACCCTGATGAGATGAGGGTTGTAAAAATATGACCATTCCTTAACATTATCAAAGGAATGTTGTTGCTTCAGCATTTACCCCTTAAGAGGGTTCCCTACCCCCATTGAAAAACGTCAGAAAACCGCTTCGCGCGGTATCATATAGCGATTCTAGTTTTGACATTTAAATTTTGAACCAAACACCATTTTGTACATAAAGAGTGGTTCTACTAAGTTTGCTTTTTAAAAAATGTCTATGCTTACGCAATCAAGGGCAACGACTTGTCAAAGTTAGTGAACTTTAACTTCAATTGTTAAAATGGAAATTACTTATAAAAACTTACCTGTTAATCGATTTACTATAGGTAACACTGTTTAAATGTTTGTAACACATATAAAATGTGTCTTTTACACTATTTGAAGTTGGTTCTGTGTTACTGTTAATCATTAACTACTCGCTCTTTTTCATCTTCTATATTTATATGCTGTCAGTCTATATTTATTCTATTTGTTTTTGGTACTATTCTAGACAGCCTTTATCTCTATGCAACAATTTTGTCGTAGTAGACGGTAGCAATGTGAGGGCAAATCTTTGATCCGGCTAAGTATAAGTCACACTTTTTGATTAAATTTCTATTATCCCTTTTAAAGACCATAACCAGTAATGATGGGTGTGAATGAAAAAAGTGGTTGGGCATGGAAAATGAGTGTAAGGAGTGGAAGATGATCTAATATGGGTATAGTGGTACTACAATTAAACTAAATTTATACCTATGGATATGGGAACTTACCTGTTAAAAATACTGGTATAGATACAAAGAACCCTCCGACAGCACACACCCTTGTGATCGAACTCTTCTTCAGGAACTTATTTGTTCTGTAAAAGACGGGTTATTTAAAAATACATACAGGCTTCCATGTCTGGGATTCCAAAACATGTTTATATATTGTACCTTGTACCTCTTAAAGAAAGAATGTGTATCGTATGTGATAGGCATATCATAAAATATTCATAATTGACAATAATGTGTACAGAGATTTTTGATATGACTTTTCTATGGCCTTGGCCTTGCTTGCGAGGAAATAGTTTTGCAAAATTCAAAAGGAGTTTTTCCCTCAAAGAATGGAAATTCCAAAGCAATCCTTAAAAACATTGAAGATGAACTTAAAAATAAACAAATAAATTTCACAGTGATTTTGCTGGCTTGAAAGAAGTATTTGGTAACCATTGATAACTTATTAGCTTTGACTATGGATCAAAACTTAGTAGACATCCCAGTCTCGTGTTAAAATCTATAGACTGTTTTAGAAAAAAAATAGACAGCTGAAGCTGAATTAACAGATTATGCTAATGTAAATTACCATAGACTAATAGAATAAATTATAGACTGTCAAAGAAAAGTTCCGCGATGTAGGCTACTGCTCTATGTTGGATTCCCTGCCGTCGTCGGCTCATCGCCACATGCTACCAGCAGAGGCTGCAGCGGCGTGCGCCGTAACTAAATGGCAATCCTAGCGGTGGACGACATAACTTATGCTAACCGCAGCCATAGACAAATAAAATAAATATAGACCGTCAGCTGTGCTGTGGTTAGCATAAGTTCTGGCGTCCACCGCTAGGATTGCCGTGTAGTTACGGCACACACCACTGCAGCTCTCTGCTGGTCGCATACGGCTCCTGCGCTCCTCGCCTGCAGCGGTGTGCACCGTAACTATGCGGCACTCCTAGCGGTGGACGCCAGAATCTTCCTTTGACAGTCTATAGTTATAATTCAACTGTGTTATATTAAAATACATATTTGCCACCACAATTCATGTAGATAGGAGGTCTTGTTCAGTATTCAAAACACATTAGGCTAGTTTAACTACAACTGATTTTTGTATTCACTGATTTAAATCCCTCCATTTTTTACTTCCTCCCCTTTTACCATAGTATTTATAGAGAAATTATTGTTTTCCCAAAATACACATAAAATAACAGATATAATTTTCTCGAATATGACCCCAATGATTTTGATAAAAACTTTGTATCTTATAGTCCTTTAAATTCTGAAACAAATTTTACAACTTCCTTTGCTGTACAAATTACGGTTCAAAAGTTATTGTTATTTATGTTATTTCACATAAAACCCCCATAAAATAACGGTAAATCGGATTTTTGAAGGAAAATCTGTTTTAATTAAAATTATTATGTCATGGTTCTTATGAAATAAAATGAAAAATTATTTATTTACACAGGCAAAGCTATTTAAGTCCTTATTATTCTAAACTAAGTACATTAGTACAACCCCCATTTCTGTAAAAAATACGGTTCAAAAGTTATTGCAACTTGATTTTCCCTATAGAATATCTTTATATTAAGCGGTGGGCTCCCACCGCCCATGATAAAGGTTGATGACAAGAATGGGAGAAAGTATGTGTCAGATTGCTGATATCGTTTAGTTATAAGATATGCAATTCCTCTCATTTCCGACTACCTACTATGACTAATTTTAAGCACCGCGCAGGTACCGTCCAAAGACTGCGCAGCGCGTAGCGGGAAGGTGCGCTGTGAAGGGCGAGTCGGAGTTCAGCGCAGCCGCGGTGATTTGGCGCGCCGCATTCCTCGGCAAGGTCGTTCCCGCCAATCCCGCCGCGCTCGCGCCAACGTGCGAATTACCAACTATCAGACCGTTCACACACTCTGATGCGATCCTACTGTGACTTTATATCGTGCAGTTTGTCATCTAATTGTACTTGTGTGAGTTATAAGACGCGTGTAAACCACTAAAAAGAATTTGACCAAGAAAAATATCTGTCATGCCGCACTCGTATTAATTAGTTTATAGGTAAACTCTTTTGATCTGATACAAATCCAATATGACTACCAGAATAAGTTAAATGGACGTTTTAGCGGTCGATTTGTCAGTAGTTTGGGAGAAATACGAAAGAATAGATCCTTGATATGTTTACCTTACGCGGCTATTACGGGGCTAGAAACCAATTTTTACAACATAATTTTGAAGAATCTATAAACAGCGAGCTGGTAAATCTATCACACGAAAAACAAAAAATCGCAGTAACAATTTAAATTATTGCGTTTTGGGCTACTTGTTTAGATAACATTATCAAAAAATCAGTACGCTTTTTGAATTAAAATATTCAGTACAACTAATTAAATTTACGATGCGGTTAGATAAAAAAGTTTCAAATAGAGATTACTAATTAGATTGAAAGCTGCGATTCGGAAGACAATGTATCAATTAACTGTCCACAGTAAAAGCTGTAGAGCAGATAAGAGTCCTGATCCTTAACTCTGAGGACTCCTTCGAGCTCATCTCCTGAGCCGATCCTTCGTCCTTGACGTGTTATCTGGTAACATCACGCAACGCCTCGCCGCGAGTCCCTCGTTAACCCCGTTACAGTAGCTGGTCATTATAAAAACCACAACTCTCGAAAATAGGAAAATAACATCGTTTACTACAACTACGATCATTACAGAAACGCCTTGGTGGACTACTGTTGAATTGTCAGTTCTGCCGAAAATAGAGTTGAATATTTAAAAACGGTACTCGATTGACACTACCTACTCAAATCCGTTTGAAATTTGATATTTAGCTTGAATTCGAATCACGAATGTTAAAATATAGTGCCTTAATCGTGAGAAGACGTCAAAACCTTTAAATAAACCCAGATAAAAGGTACAACATTGAAACATACTTTTAGCAGGGAAAATGGCAATTGACATCTTTATACCGATTTTCCGTTCGGTTTGAAATGGTTTTTTAATTTGCTAGAAGTATTTTTGATCCCATGTTATACACGTAAAACAACCTTTCTAACAACACCTACAACAGTAGTGTGTTGTGTAACCCTAAACCTGCATAGAGTTTAGCTAGTCTATTGTTGTAGCCTCTGCCGGTTACGCTCTATGCTTGCGCTTGCGTTCGTGTTCGTTCCGTTCGCTCGTTCTGACCCAACGCTCCGGTAACTCCACCCGTAGTTCACAGCTAGTGCAGACACTGCAGACGTTCATTTAGAAAATTATTCTGTTCTTCCTTGAACATTACGTCGTGGAATAAATCTGGACATTTTTGTTAGCTGATATCTCCAACTCCAGGATTCATAAACAAACTATTGACAAGACTAAGGAGTTATGAATACTTATTTAAATAATCGGTGTCAGCAATCTGACACATACTTTCTCCCATAAGCTTGTCAACAACCTTTATCATGGGTAATCGGTGAGAGTAAATATGATATTTTATAGTTAAACATCACACAAGTTGCAATAATTCTTGAACCGTTTAATTGTTACAGCAATTGTTGTACTATTTTTTAGAATTAAGGAACATAACATTTTAATTTTTATCAAAACCAGCTTTTCTTTTAAAAAATCCGATTTTAGTTAGGAAAGATGTGTGTTAAACAATCATTACAATTTTTAATGGACAACTTCGTGCGGCTTTCTTTAGTTAATCACCATGTCGAATATGAAGTAAATGTGTGGAATACATATATTCGTTTCGGAAAAAGGTGGGAAAAAGTATCCGAGTCCAGATATTTTCTGTGTTTCGACTATTGTTACAAATATTGGTCTTGCAAACTAATACCCAGCAAATCAAGCGCGTTTGGCTTTAACTAATCTCGTACTCACCTTACGCCGTCGGGAGAGTCTCTGACAAGTTTGACAGCGAAGATGAACTGCACTGCGCAGACAAGTACACAGCACAGGTTTAGCGACAGAGAGAGCGCGCACAGGGTCAGTGTCACTTCGTAAACTATCACATACTCCTCAGGGGAGATAAGGGTGAGCTGTTCTAGCCTCATGAGCTCGCGAACGTCAGCTGCGGTGACGGGAGAAATGCGGAGAAGGAAGATAAGAGAGAGCAGCGCCAGCAGGAGCGACACGAGGCAGAGCAGACCCAGTGACGTCAGCATCTCTCGGACCCCGGGCGTCTGGGAGAGACGACCAACCGGGGCCACGGGGGCAGCAGGAGGCGGTGCCGGGGCCGGCGACCTGCGAACACGAGTGAGTGGAGCTTAGAAGAAGATGGACGGTGAAAGAACATGCAAAGGAAAAGGTAATTCGGAAAGATTTTATATAGACTTGAAGGGGAAAAGGATAGATGAAGAACTTGGAACCTACATGAAAATGTCTTTTGAGAAATTTACCCTACCCCATGAGGTAGAATGAATATGTTATATGTACTTGGATACAAATGGGGAAATGCGGCTATTGCAAATACTTATAACTTTAACAGGAAATGCCTTCTGATAAATACTGTAGTCAGGAGGTAGGATAACAATCTGATAGGCTATGATACTTATCTGAAAATTTAGGCATTAAGAAATCTGAGATTTATATTTCTGATCCCTACTCCTTTATCTCACATTGTATTGTAACCTCACTGGTTCGTACAAAAAATTATCACTGTACACCTACTATAAGCATTTTAAATGACGCTATTTCCAATGTGAACATGTTTTCTGCCAATATATGAAGCTGTAGAAAAGGCACTTTTTGAGAAACAATATACATACCCCATATATGAAACAGGTCAAATTGTTTTTCAAACATGACATTTAAAAACAAAAGTTCACACTCAACAGTAAAATGAATTGCTCCAAATCTCACCTGCTGTTGGAGAAGGCGTCGTAGTTTGTTGATATGTGAAGACCTCCGTTGGCGATCTTGGGGCCGTTGGCGACGCTGCTGCCGCCCAGCGAGTGTTTGGACGTAGAGAGTGTGGACACATTTAGGCTGTGGCTGTGTATATGGTTGTGGTTGTGACTGATGTGACTGTGGTTGCTGTGGTTGTGGTTCACTCTTGTCCCAGGTCCGGAGTAGGATTGGTTCAGACCGCGCGGTCCGCTGTGTGCCAGGCCGCCATTGCTTCTGGAACAAGTCGTTTGGTACTCATAGAGAGCGGGAGTGATGTTCTGAATGGTAGTCCAGCAATTATTATTATTATTATCAATTATCAATTATTTAAGATGGGGACGCCACTATGTGCGTATTTTAACCCAAATATGAGTGAAGGATGAGTGTAGATGAGTGGCACGATCTTGTAGTCTTGTTAGTGACTAAGGCCGACATCATCCTTAGACACAGCTGTTAATTAATAGCCCATACAGCTAATGGCAACTAAGGGACCTGCAGTTTATTGTGGAATCCGAACCACATTTTTTCCCTCGTAATTAACGAATTGGTCTAATTATTAGGATAGTACTGCGGATAGTCATAGTACTCACTAGTGCGGACGTTAATCCACACCAGGGAGCATCACATCTACAGTGCATCCCTATAAATATCCACAATTCGTGACCTCCTGGCTAGTAGTCGGATTACAGGACGACGCCACCCGCCCCAATCTATCATACAGCTTAAATGTACTATACCTACTCTCATATAGGCTACCCAAGGTATAATATAGTGCCATCTTCTGCCACTGGCCACTGGGCATTACATTGCGCCGTTGGTTGAAACGCTATAATGATGACTTTTTCCCGTTGACCATCACAAAACTTGACCCGCAAATGTTACTCAAATAGTAAAATATCAGTGCTCGTGCTCTATCTCTGTACCAAGACGTACGTAACTGAACCAAACCAATCCAGTACGAATACAAAACCTCATATGACACCACAATGTGTAACGATGTATTAGCTATACGACTACTAACTATAACCATACGAGATATAAAATTTGTTACGAGTAATATTGGCTACCGATTCCAACCAGTGACACCGGTCATCACAAGACACAATCCGAGACAGATAAATTTATGTCTTACGAGGAGTGTTGGGAGACTTTGATTTTGTCCGTATAACACACAACCATTAAAGTGTTTACAATAAAGTTGACCTAAAACATGTGATGATCAAATTCAGCACAGAGGCGAATACTGTACCTGAGATGCTTCAGCATGATGTCGGGCCCGGGCTGAGGCTGTTGCTGATCCGGAGCAGCAGAAGATCCATCTTGCTGAGGCTGTCACCTCCGTTGATCACGCATCTCCTGAAACCATCACAGAGTCAGACTTTAGAAGTATGTGAACATTGCAAAAGCTCAAGTCATGGAACAGATGAAACAGATCAGATAACAATGTATAGAATCCAACAAGCGTTTACAAGTTTAAAGTTGTATAGGTCTTTTGATACAGTCACTAATCCTTGAACTGCAAATATAGAATTTTCGTATCGCTTTAGGCTTTAGAACAATGAGTTCACCATTCAGAATCATTACCCTTGAACTAGACAAGTCTGAAGGACGCCACCTCCAGATCTAGATGAAAAGTATAGTCCAGTGACCAACGAATAACAAGAAAGGGCGTTATTATTTAGTCGATGAAAGTGATCTATGGAGTGGTTTTCCGCAGTTTCATTGCCCGAATTTTAAATCCTTGAGGGGTAAAACATACTTTAAAAAGGGACATTCACGGGAGCTTTTGGGATAGCTTGCTTTGTAGTTTTCCACACATGTTGGATAAGTGTCCCCATGAACCTCAGGCATCAAATTACGCTGTAATTTAAGAACCAATTCAGAACCTAGTATCCATTTGTCATTGGCTATTAAAACAAACTTTATAACATAGCGGTGACGTAATATAAGATCAAAGATTTTGTAAACTATGAAAAGACGTTACACGATTATAATAGTATTATGGTAAAATCATATATGTCACAAGCAAACAGTGCTAGCTAGAAATGAGTGCCCATATAAAAATCACTGTAAACTGTATCTAAAAGAAATTATGAAATAAGTACCTAAACAAAAGGTGATTTTCAGCTTGTAGTTTTTACATAAAAACGGGCGTAATGGCATGTATCATGCAGAATACAAGGACAGAAGGCTTGAACCCCAGCTGACAAGAAGTATATGCTCCTAGCGAGCAGGAGCTTCAGGGGATGTGGCGCTAGTCGCCACAGTCAAACAGACTTGGACTTGACGACGCTTACAGCAGCTTATTTATAATTAACATTAGTTTATACTTCACTCAAGAGGCTAATCACGACGCTCTCCTTCATTCTACAATGCTGGTTATGGATACCATTATCTTATCTTCATGGCATGTACTGTAGTTTATTAGTTTAACTCTCAAGGAATCTGACATGTCCATTAACTCGAAAATATGTACTACTAGTCCAATAATTAATGTGAATTGAAGTGTCAATTTTTTCAACGATTTCACCTATTGCACTATTTTGGTTTCGTTAATACAATAAAATTTCTTCTAATTATTATTCTTTAATCATAGAATGTTGCAGCTATGTTTATTAACAGCATTATACTAGTTGATCTATAATGTTTTTTTACACAACGGGCCAATGACTTGCGGTTCAATAGGAATGCCACAGGGTGCCGCTCTGGGACCTCTTTTGTTCAGACACGTCGCCTCACGTGACTCCATTATCAGCTGATGAAAAACATGCAAAACCTGCCAAGCTAAAATAATTAATCAAGGTACAGCTGTTTCTTACAACCCTAAGCTTGACGCTTGTATTAGGCTCGATTATATTTTACAGGTTGGTACAACATTCGATAGTGTAACTTGTTGTATATACATGGTACTTTTTTTAAAGGGTCCAGTTGTGAGATTTTGAGCGTTTGTAGTTTTTCACTTGGTTAAAGTGAAATAGTATATTTTAATTTCAATTTATAAATAAATTATTTTGTAGACTGAGAAGGTGTTGTAGCTTTTAGATGGTTCAAAACTAGACCCAGTTGTTGGGGCTTTTAAAAAGGTGCTGGGTAATCAACCGGCTCCTTAATCAGGAACAAATCAAAATCTCATCCATTCGACCCACTTCATGTAGCAACCTTCTTAGTACGCATTCCGGTGTGTCGGCGTCCTAAAATTCTAATACAATCTATAGTGTTGTCAATTGTTTCATAAAATACGAATGAAGCTTTTAAACCTAATGCATATATTTCCTATGGCTGTTCTTTTCGGAAAATTACTGACTATGAATTGTAACTATGAGGAAGCATCTCGAAAGAAGATCAACGATAGCTGTTGAGTTTTTGAATTGGGTCCCTAGAAACTAAACACCTAGTAGGAGCACCCATAGAAATTTGGACAAAATTCTCCATTTTTCCAACCCTCTCGATGACCCCGATTGGAGTGGGGTTAAGGTCGAAGGGTGTCAAACTTCCGGACTCGGTTCCAATAATTGGTGCCTATAATAGGCGCTGCTCCCACAGCCGCCTGGGAACCTTTGGTCAGGACTAATTGCATGATTTACAATGAGGACCTTGGCGTCGGTGAAGGACCTTCAGGATCCTCGAGACATAGTTTACAACCGTCTGGAATTCCATTTGAACCTTTGCAACTGTTCTAAAAATGTGACTACATGAGAGGTAATGGTAGCACAAATGCGTACATACAGCGAAAAAACGTACAGCGAAATATGCGTACAACATACTACAGTATGTTTTCTATGGTACAAGGGGAAACAGTGGTGTTTGACGAGGGAAGTGGTAAATATTATAAAAAAAATGCGTACAAATCACCACCCCATCCATCCACCCCTAAACTATTTGGAAATACCAAATAGCTTAATGCATCTTAACTAGCGAAATACGAATCAAAACTTCCCAAAAAATCACAAATACCAAACCATTTGTAGGCTCTTGCCTACATACAAAAAATTATTATCCTAGATTAGACCAAATAAATCAAATATGGTCAATTGGCAATATAGGGTATTATTGTGTGTATAGTCAATGGTATTGTTAACATAACACTAAAAGTAAAAAAAAAAAAACAATAAAATGGAGAAAAAAACAACAACGAAACATCGAAGCTTCACGCTGATTTGAAAAACGCCTAAATGATAGTGCAGCATACCTCTATCATTTTGCCAGTCCACAGCCTGGGAAAAGTGTGATGGAAAACAGGTTAAATATATAAATGTTTATAGGATATCCAACACTGAGAAACTAAGTGAAATGTATATGTAGTTTACACTCATATTGTTCAATAGTTTTAAAATGATATAGAACTTTACCCTAAAGGTTGTACGCTTTTTTCGCCTGTCTAAATGTCTTGACGTCTTGGCTTACCCTCGTCCTCTGTCAAAACTTGATCATGTACGCTTATTTCGCAAGATTCGAGGTGTACGCTTTTTTCGCTGTACGCTTTTTCGTATATTCGAATGAGAAAATAGCAAAAATGCAGATTGTAAACAAAATGAGTTATTCCAAGGGCGTATCGAATGTTTCTGTATTCTAAAGTAAAGCTGTAAGGGAATCCCGACGCGGGTTTCACGCTCGTGTAGAATGGGCCTTACACGGGATTATGGGTTTCATACTATACAGCTTACCTAACTATTTTCATACAGTAGTTTAATATTATACTACTAACGAATTTGTCACTCTAATTATTTTTGCTGGAGTAAATAGTCAATTATAAATAGTCAATAGTAATAGTCGAAATGGTTGAGGTACCCCTTACTAAATAGCTGCTTGTTTGTATTAGCTAAATTGAAAACATGTTATAATTCGTTTTGGGAGGTTATCATTACATGAAAAGTTCTGTCTTGTTCTAACTTAGTTTGCCTAAATACTGGTATAATTTGACGAAAAATATAGTTTCTTACGGGCAAAAGTATCTTTTCAACCCTCGCTCATACAGTATTCTGACCTCGGCTTCGCCTCGATTGTTAAACTTAATCTTCCAGGCGAGTCACTTTACGTCCTATTGATGAAACGATTATGTTGCGATAGAACCAAACACAAGCATATGTTCAGGCAATAACGCAGGGATAAATCAGGTAATGCAACAAAACTACTTTAAATACCTCTGAGGTATTGAAAATTACAGTTGCATTTATAATATTAATAGTTGACAGCTATCAAGCTGTGTTTTTATCTGTGTAACACTAGCAGTACTATTTTATTTCAAAATTATTAAATTTAATCATTTTTTGATAATGATGCGTGTATAAATCCCCCTTGAAAATCCATGTCAATCATATTCTTTAGAATCAACCCTAATCGAATCCTGATAGAATCCTGTAAATGCTTTGCCCATGCACAGTCTAGTTCTAGTTTGTTCCTGTGGGGCCTGTATTGGTCTTTTACCACTGAACTGTTTGGACACCTGCGTCGTGTCAAACGCCAACGAGAATAAATATCACACCAAACTGACAACGAACTAGCCAAACTCTCAGCAAGTGTGTTTTGAGCACGTCAAAATATTCTCGTGAGAAAACCAGTTAGAATTTCAAAACATTTTATCTCGCATGTTTCGTCCACTAAAATGTCAGTATCGCTTGGTTAACCATATATCCGCCATTTTGTATTTTTTACATCAATATTTTTATCCTTGAATTTTTTTACCGATCTTTATGAAACTTAGTATGTGTGTTAAGGTAGAAGAGACCCATATTAGGAAAAAATCATCTTGATTCGTTTTAAATTTAAGTTGAATCAGGATGAATTTTTTTCTAACATGGGTCTCTTCTACTTTAACACACATAGACCTACAAAGTTTCATAAAGATCGGTTGAAAAAATCAAAAATCAAAATGTTTATGTAAAAAATACAAAATGGCGGAAATCTGGTTAACGAAGCGATGTGGATTGATTTTCTCTTTGTGCCAAGAAATAACTACGTAAATTGTGTTCCCCCTTTTTTTGAACACCCATAATTTAGTACTTTACCAGTAAAATACAGTAGAACTTAAATTTTAAATCTGTTCACGTGAATAAATACCACAGGGACAGTAGAAGTAGGTAAACTAAACATTGTGAATAAATACCACAGGGACAGTAGAAGTAGGTAAACTAAATAAAAATGTATGTGTCAATAATTTATGTCACACAACGGCACGGTTTGTCAGGTCGTAGCCAATTCGGTTCTGTTAGCAAGCCAATGAATATTAAGATTTAAAAAATATGTGAAATAATAACACAACATGAGTACAAATAGTGTTAGAACAATACATTTCTGTCTACAGCAATAGTAGAGAAATGTGAGCTTTCTGTTTAGCAACAAAATCCAAAACGGGTTGT